GGAAATAATTTGAACCAGATCCCTGCAAAGCCTTTGAGGCCTTCAGGGAAGGTGCCTGTGACCCCCATTTTGCTTGCAGGACCATTGCAGCAGGTCAGTGCTCCTTCGGGGTCCTGCCAAGGTCTGTTTAACCCTGAATCCCCTTCACCTTGCTCTTCTCTTTGTTTTTACTTTTATTTCTTACTCAGCTGAGCACTTTTTCATCATGAGGAGGCTGGTGAGCCCTGCTTTTTTAAGATGATGCCAGAAAACTGCCTGATGTAGCCTGGGTGGTTCTAGTTTTACTTGCAAAATAATTGTTTTCCTTTATTTCTCTTATGCAAGTAGAGGAGGAAAAGGGAACAACAACATGTTGCAGAGCAGAATATGAATAGCGTTCAAGTAAGGGATGCCAGACAGACCAGACAGGTATAGAATCAAATAGGATTAATTTCAGGATATTTCAGACTTCAGGCCTCTTGTGGGTAGTAACGGGGTGCAGCAGAAGATCACTGCACAGTCAGGTTCCTCTAAAAGTCCTTTGGATCACTTCTGAGGACAAAGCTGGGCTGGAAACCTAGTTTGCGGTGAGGTGTCTGACGCTTCTTGCTCTCCAGCCAGATCATCTGAAAACATTTGGCACTCACAAAATCTCATAGCAGGAAACTTCACATTTCCAATTGCAAAGGAAAACAGTAACCTGCTGCTTCTCTTGGCCTCCTTTGAATACATAGTTGGGGGGTGACAAACAAAAATGCAGTTGAATTCCCTGCACATACAGGACTTGTTGTCTCCATGCTAACACCTGCCATTATCCTCTTAGAAGCTTGGGACTTGGCTAGAAGAAAGGGAGAGAGAGGAAAGCCATAGAGGTTTGTGAGCACAGGAACTTTCAAGGGCAAACTGGATGATAGAGTGATGCTTTTTAGGGAAGTGGAAAAGCACAACATAGGAGAAGTAAAACTTGGAGCTAGTAACCAATGGAGAATGGTTTCTGTAGGGAGCTGCTGCACTCAGGGAGAAAGTTATGAAAACTCGTAAGTCAGAAAGGCAAATAAGAACTCCAAAACTAAATTTAAGGCTCAATAACGAGCTGCATTTAGGACAGATGAAGGTATCTGTGTTGTATTTTAGTGCATGTTATCCAGTGAGCACACTGGACACCCACAGGGTGCAGCTATCAACCCTGCAATTAGCTGCACAGTGTCTTTGAACATCCTGTCAACTTCAGTGGTCTGACAGGTTGGGAGGTACAATTTGGGAAAGAACGACAGGAATCTTAAACAGGATTTCACATTCTTCTAGTGGTGATGCTACTCATTGCTTTTCTCTCCATAGTGAATGGCAGAGCCTTGGGCTGTCTGTATATGATGTGGTACAAATGAGTTTTTGCATACCAGCACATCCAGCATCGACATCTGCTCAAAAAAATAGGCTTAGTGTTGGTAGGGAGGGATTTATAGCACAGCATAATAGTCCAGTACTGCACATGGATCGATTGTTGTACCGTGAGGTCTCCTTTAGGAAACACAGTAAGTCTCAAAGTTTTGATTGCAGAGCCCCACATCACGTCTCCAAAATGGCCCAGCTGAGACACTGCAAACACAGGAAATGAAATGGCATCATGTTTGGGCTCTGACATATTTCCACTGAAGAAGAAATAAAAAAAGTAAAGGTAATGGATGCTTAGTGCAGTGAAATCTTTCCATAGAGACATGGCAGAGTGCACCTGTCCTGAGCAGAGAGGGGGATTTATTCCGGTATAAAGCTCTCCTTAGTCTCTTTGGATACCAAGAGACAGACTGAGTTTCCAGAATACATTTCTTCTCACCTCAGCAGCAGTGACTCTTCCTGCCCTACACTTACTAAGCCAAGCTAAAGAGCAAAGCTGGGACTGAGGGAGTTTTACTGCACCTGCTTGTAGTGCCCAGTGATTCTGAGCTGTTGTGCAGAAGTGAAGGGTAATGGTCCTCTCAAGGCCTGAGCAAGGAGGGTGTATGAAGTCTTTGTGGTCTGTACCTCTTCCAGGAGGAGCTGCAGGGGTGGAGGAGTGCAGCAGTGCTCTGTGTTCTCTCTCACCATTGCCTTGGTTCCCCCAAGTGTTGTAATTTTAGATTGATTTTTCTGCTGAAAAGCTGCCTTTGACCCACTTTATTTTCTGCTGCTAAAGGAGAAGTGCCTGGATAAATTGAAGTGAGCTTTTAAGGCACTGTGTAGAAGGGGACTCGAAACCTAGAGCTTTGTCTCAATGCCTGGCAGCTCGTACCTTTATTGGGTAGGTGGGTTTAGCTTTTATTAAGGAGTTGTGACTGCTCTGTATTGCAGGTGTAATTCCAAAAGCCAGCCACATCTTGCTGCCCTCTGCTTATTTTTGCCTTTAGAATCTGATTGTATCTTGATAC